AAATCATTTCATTTAGAATATCCCTCCATATATGATTTCTCAAACTTGTCTGGCACAGACAAACACGTACACTTTACTTATAAATCTAGATGAAGTACCTATTAACAGGAGAATATTCACATTATAGCAAAAATAATACAACATTGCAGTATCTATGGCTTCAAAGCAGACAAAAATGAGAGAAAGAGAGGGGTTAAACCATAAACCAAACCATCAAGATAGGAACTATGATTGCAGCAGAAACAGCCCCTGTGATGACCACATCATCTGTGCCACCTGTAATTACAAAAGAAGAAAAAGAAAAAGTAAAGAATGAGGAGTACAAGTACACAAGTTGTATGAGATTCTAACTGCAGTGAAACCTGCCATCAGTCAAGGCATTGAGTGGGATGAATTCATAATTATATTATGATTATGTGAATTTTGTTGTCATTTTACATTTAGAACAAATCAAAGCCAGAAAAACTGTATCATAAACAGTGTGCTAATTTGTCTCACAAGAAAAGGTTTTTCAGCTAAGACACTTAGTGAATTATTATTCTGCACAAGCATTTCCTCATCACATACACCTTTTTACCTGAAGAAATCCATTCTGTGGGGCCTGAGTCTGTCTCAACTGTTGTCACCTTTGTTGGCTCCGGGTTATCTGCAATGATGGAAAAGCAAGTTTGTGTCATCACTTTTTGCACATGAAGTTACAATGTAGCTGTTCACCTTTTCAGTTAAAACAGATACAAAAAGTCAAGTTGGAAGTCAATGTGATTCTACCATATAAAAGTGTCCTAACCTAGGGCCATGAGGAGTATTTTTCACAACATAAATGCCTTATCCTATATTCTAATTTTTTTCCTCATTATATATGAGCCACAATTTACTTGGTTGTAAAATCACATTTAAGTTGCACAATCACTAAATTTAACTCAGCCTTAATTTTTTACACCACCATCAGGGCCACAGTCACTTAGCTTGCAGAAACCTTAGATACAATTTTGAAGTATTCAAGAAATAGCTACATGTAGACAATTATTATTCTGCTCCAGCATTTCCTCATTAGATACACCTTTTTACCTAGTGAAGAAACCTGCTCTGCAGGGCCTGAGTCTGTCTCAGTAGTTGTCATAGCTTCATGCAAGCAAAGATGCTCTTTAGATATATACACTAGGCTGACTGAGATAGAAGCACATTCTAAGGAATTTTAATAATTTAAAACAACGAGGGAGGCAACCAGGATATTCTCTCCTCTAGCTGCTACACATTTCCTTGTAAATTGGTTATGAGAATTTGGTGTTTGATCATGGTAATATCTTGTACCTGATAAGTTCAAGTATTCTCACAACCAATTTTCTAGATAATGTATGCATGTTATGGGGAAAGGTTACATGTTAATCACTTCTGGGAGTTAAAAGGTTAAATTTACCTTTAGTGTAGAGCATGAAACTCTTCAAAGGTTGGTGTGTGGTACAGTTATGGTTAGGTCCTAAGCAGTATGGATATAACCTGTAAAAGCCCTCCATGGACTTGGTAATCTCTTTTAATGTTATATTTAGAGTTTTGTCTCCTGAATGTCTAAGACAATAGTTTTTCTTGCACCCAGGTACCTCATTGTAACAGGCACCACAACCATCTTCTCATTCTAGGAGCTTGATCAGGTGGGTAACAGGAGAGCCTTCACCAAGGTATACATAATTAGCTTTTTGATTGTTAAGTGATATGTTTACCATCATACGGGAACTGTTGAGAAAAGAAAAAGTATAACCAAATTAGATGTCATATTTGTCGTACACTAATACAATTCTTGAGACCTTGGGCAACTAAAAGATATATTGAAACATATATTGCTATTTTAACCTCAGTACGTACCTGGACATAACCAAGAAGCTGCCTTAAATTTGTTAGAGAATGAGTTACTAACTAACTATTAGCTGTAGGTTAAGAACAGGGGTGGGAAATTTATTCTTTGACACCTTCAGTGGTCACCATGAGTTTATATTATTCAGTCAAAAGTCAAAAGTGATTCTCTCTGAAGGCCTTGTTTTTGCTGATAATGTCCTTGTGAATGCGTTGAACGACTGATGTTTAAGAGCCAAAAACATGCAAATCAGTTAATAGGTAAATTATAAACAGAAACATATTTTTCACCTACCACTACAGTTCTCAACACTCAGGTTGACAGCTCGTACACATGTTGGTGTAGCTGTTAATTAAATGAAATATTGTGATTCCTAAGTCTTTTGCAGTAAAAAGTATTTGCACTTTTTTAATAAGTCGTAAAATCCGACTCTTTGGAGAGTCGTCATGATGTAAGCTTCTTTGAAAGATCCTGTGATTCCACTTTGAGCCTCTAGTCCTAAACCACAGGGTTGTGGCAATGAAATAGATTGTATACTGCCTATCAAAGTGTCATCCCTTCTGTGAAAGGATGGCACTACTATGGGATGCATGGGTTTAACGCTGCAAACAAATGTGACGCGTTTCATTGCATATGCCCAATCGTGACTCTGAAAGTTCGATTAAGAGTCCTACAATCACATGATAGTAAATGTCAGCATGCGATTTTGATAGGACGAGGTCGTGGTGAGACCAAATTTGCATATTGATGTGCGCGAGTCAGCAAAATATCATGACCACGAGGTTCTCGTGGCTCACGCGAATTCAATTTTCTACCAGCATACTCAGACCAAAATTATTGAGGTTTTTTTTGTCTAAAGTGAACAAAAATGATTACCTTAACGGAAAAATACCAATAGACTTTGTAAAATGATAAAAAGATCACGATCTATGTCGACATTTAAAAATATGAAACTTACGCATGGTCGCATTCCCGCCGCGCTCTAGTCTAATATTTTGATCCCTGACGCGAAAATGAAACTGAAACCCTTGAGTCGAACTAAAACCAAAATTTGTTGTTATTACACCTACCTCTGTCAAGAAATATTATGAAAAATTAGACAAGCAGACAAGACGTAATCTTCAGACTAAATTCCAAGACAGTAGGGAGTTTAAGATACGGTCACTACGGACTACGGACTACGGACTACGGTAATACACGGCGAGGACCTGGTTCGAGATTTACTGCGCATGCTCGATAGCACGTGGGTTTCGCAGTCCGTCGTGTGGTTGCAGGCTACGGGGAGTAGTCGAGGAGATTCGCGTAGTGAGGACTACGTAAGTATTTTTTTGCCGATTTTTGACCAGTTTTGAGCTTTATTGTTGAGAAAATGTTAATTTTACTTTCAATTAACACAAAGCTTAACAAATCTAAGAGGAAAGTCATTTCTGAGAAAAATTATGAATTTTAAATTAAAATCTTAATTAAATCGAAATAGCGGCATGGGTATGCTAGTCGTTTTAGCAGTAAACAAAGTCCTTCTAAGCCACTGCAAACTGTTCCCTGTGGGCACTTGAAACTCGCCGGAATCCGCAATGCGTTCAATAACATCGGAATATCATCCTTGGCCACCCTGAAGTGAGCTTCGCACTCGCAAGAGTCGAACACATCCAAACAGAATGGATCAAAATTCCAGTACGGAAATGAAGGATTAACGGTTGGTAATAATCGTAAAGAACAATAAACTCTTCATCATCCAGAAAACCATCCGCATAAGCGATTAAAAGGGCGTTTCTAGCATCTTCGAAGGACATTTTTTTTCCAAGTGCAGCCGTAGTCCGTAGTCGTTGTCACGATCTTAACGTCAAACAACACTCCAATTTTCGCGCCCTTTTAGCGTAGTCGGCCCAGTCCACGCGTGGCTTGGATTCTCACGCCCAGACGTAGTCCGTAGTCCGTAGTGACCGTATCTTATACCCCATTCACACCAGCAAAACATGTTTTGTTAAACTGGTTTTCATTGAATGAAAATTATAAACAGAGAACTGAAAAACTTGATTTTCCATTGGATTCAAGTACTTGCTAACTTGCATTTCCAATGTGCTACATTCAAGTCAAAAATATTCGGCTAAATAGTTTCTATGAAGAAAAAAAAAAATTAAACTGTGTTTAACAAAACAACTTTTAAACATGTTTAAGCTTTGGTGTGAATGGGGCATTAAACTCCCTAGTAACTCGGGGCAGTGATGTCACTAATGTGCGTGACATTATGTGCTTTGAATTACTGTGAGTATAGGAAAATCATGTATGTGAACTGCGGACTAAAGAAGTAAATATGAAAGCGATTATCGCAGTAACGAACACTACTTCAGCAGCGAAAAGAAGGCTTGAAAAAAATTCAGGCCTTTACAGGAGTTGAACTCGTGACCATTGCGATACCTGTGGAACGCTCTACCAAATAAGCTAACAAGCCAACTGGGAGCTGGTCACTACGTTGGCTCCAAATAAACCCGTTAAGTGATGAATAAATGACTGTGAATCTAGGAAAATCACATATGTGAACTGTGGAAAAAGAAGTGAACGTGAAAGCGACCATCACAGTAATGAACACTACTTTAGCAGAAAGAATTTTGGATATTATTTGTGATGCGTGAAAAGGCCAAGAACTTTCTTTGCGTCACAATATAGTCTTACACATTCGCTATTGGGAAGACAAAGAGCGTATACTGTGTCCTTATTAGGACATATGTTAACGTTACAAGTTCGTGGTCGTTTCAAACCAAACCATTTCAAAATTTCTAAACCACAAGCACGGAGCGGGGGTTGGGGGGGGGGGGGAGGGGGTCATTATATATCATCATATTTTGTAAAACTGATGTTCAATGCTTCCTCCGTCCACGGTGAAGGGTGTGTTTTCTAGACGAGTACTGCTTGTAAGATCAATATTGCTCCCAATACTTGACATACAGGCTGAATACCTGAAAAAGAATGAAACGTATGAGTGACTTTAATTAATTAAGGGAATCAAAACTAACAAAAAGAAATTTTTTTCGTATTTCCTAATTTGTATAGCCTAGAGATTTCACCTCACACTATTTCAAAATATTAGCATTTTTCTTTCTTTCTTTTTTAATTCAGCAGCAATACACTCACAACCATATCAATAACAGTGAAGCAAATTATTCTCAGTCCTAGATATCCTACATTTTGACTCGCTTCTCCATCGCACTTCACTTTATTTGAAATTCAGCGCCTACATGGTGGCTAAGCGCTAACTTGTAAAATAAGGCCTGAACTGATATTCTCTTGCTGTGCATTTTACCAGCTGTTTCAGTCCTTTCCTGCCTTTACACACCTGAGCATACTGCAAACCGCTCTTGTAATTCCTTAATTACGACTTCATCCTATACAGCACTACTCTCGCCACATTATTCTACGCAAGTACCACGCACCCACAGACGATCCTCTGTGCAACTCGGCACTACTTCTGTGCACTCAACGCCTAACATCTCCATCGGACTCTTTTTCCCACAGCAATCTAGCACATTCGACAACTTAATTCCATTACTCACAATCTGATGTTACTCACAATCTGATGTTACTCTACAGCACTCTTCATCACTCACACACAGTTTACACTTCATCCCCATCCAGATTAATTCATGCCATTCCACACCAAATAAAACCCTGTCTCACCAAAAACAAGCTAGTTTAATTGTATAATGCACTAGTGCAGACTACAAAAAGTCAATCCCACCTGCGTCCACTGTGGCTGACGACTCTCCTAGTACTTTGCTCCTCTTTAACACCACCTAGAGTACACTATAAGCCACGTTAAGTCCCTCCACGCATGATACATGGCTCATGCTGCACTACGTACATTCCACTCCACATCGTTACAATCATTTTCAAATTTAATCCAACCACTCCATGCAACTTCAGGCCTATACTTCTTACGAAGTCCTTGAACTTACCAGCCTGCGAGTAGGCCCTAGTTATTAGCGCTGCGGGACGCGCGTTTCTCTGCCCGCATAAAGATTGGAGACGAGTCGGGGAATGGTTTGCTGCGAGAGTCTGGATCGCCGTTTTGCGTAGCTCAAAGTCTCATAATTTCCCACGAGCTCGTGCCGAAGAGTTGATAATAAGGGCCTTCTCGACGACAATGCATTTACCGCTTTACAACACCACTCTACATTTAACCGTTCCCTTCTGTGCATACTTTATATTATGACTCTATCTTTTCTTACTCTAATTTCCTATCGACTCATTTTCTGGACTCTTTTACTGGTAGGGCTTACAATCGATACTTACTGGAATAACTGCTTTTTGCCCTGGGAGCTGATGTTTCATCGTCAATTATTTCTACAGTTGGTCTCTCTAATAGAAGACATAAAAGAAGATGGCAAAGATTAATGACAAGTTGAAATCAGCACGCTGGAAATTTCCTAAGATAAACTGATTTTAAAACAGCGCATGGGTGAGAATTTTTTTTTATTTTTTATATTTTTTCAGGCCCTACCAGCAAACTCAAAGGGTTGCACCTGGAGCAGCTAAACTTATCACGGATTAAGTTGAGCAAGTAATTTCAAAAGAACAAATGAAAGAAAATTCATGGTCTTTCTTAAATTCAGCTCTGGTTAAAGATGGGCTGGCTGTAATGTCAGTAAATCATTCAAACATACTTGCTTACGTTACCTTGTACATTAAGATCGATTTCCTCGAATGTTGTATTGTAGAGCCCCGATGAATACTTTATACACAGGTATCGACCAGCATCTTGAAGGGTAACATTTCTTAGTTTGAAAGAAACGTAAGTTTCGTTCACTAAGAAGGAATCATCAGAACAGGGTGTAGGTTTTGGAGTAACATAATGAGAGCAACTGAATCTGTTATCTTCTCTGTTCATTCCAATAATGAAAATGCTTGTGTTATCTTTTTTGAGTGTGTACTTGATACGGTCAGCAGTTCAGTCGTGTTCCGATCTTGTAAACGATAGTTCAAAAGGTTCCATCATGTAGGCTGACTCTAAAAAAAATTAGAATATCAGAATTTTGAAGTCTACATTTCATTAGTTTTATAGGGTTAAGGATATCACTGAATTAATTTGCCTTACCTTTACGGACAATCGAGCTGCCATTTTGAACCACGTACGAGAGTCCTGGTATGATAACAATCACAGAATCCTTGAGCGGCAGCTGACTCAAGCCAAGCTCAACATTCACTCCGTACATTCCCTGATCTTGGATAGCAATGTTTTTCAGAATGAATGTTAATTTGTATTTTGAGTGGCTCCAATCCATTTTTCTATCAAATCCAGCAAGAAAGTTTCGCCATGTATAGATTTATAAATGCCAAAGCTGATTTCGTAAACGTCTGGAGCACCAAATGGGCCAACTGGATTGCCTCCCAAATCGTTGAATGAGAAGCTCCAGCCCAGAGCGACGTCGTCATCTAGTTTGGCCTTTATTGTACGGTCTGGTATGTCCCCTGTGAAGCTTATACTACAAGCCACTATTAAAAATAAAAATCAAGGAAATGAGAAAATACAAAATCAAATGATTAATAATTAATTAATAGAACAATCAATTCAGGCGTAATTTTGTAAGTTATGAAAACTTTAATGCGACTCGTTTATCGCTGAGCAATCATGACCTGTAAACGACTAGTTTAAATTGTCTTGGTTTTTCTTAAAACATATTTTTTCAACTCACTCTCTACTCAAATGGTCAACAATTTTATTGGCACCTTCTCTGATTTACAACTCGTGTCAATTACTCTTTTCCATAATCAACAGTTCTCTTTTTCCAACCCAGCACACCGATGTTAATGCTTTTCATTTACCAGACGATCATCAAATTTCCGTGGTGATCCACTATGTCGCGAAATAGCACCATCATGTTAACGCATTATGCTTGGCCACCAAATCCTCTTTTCGATGCGATCAAGTTCATATCGACGGGTAACCGTTCTTTGCTTGTTTTTTTCTTTTTTCTTTTTCTTTTTTTTTTTTTTTTCAAAATATTTTGAATCCAGAAATCTGTTTCCATCGATTGTTGAGGTTTTTTCTTCTCGAGAAATACGTCCTCCAATCTCATCACTACGTATGTTGTTGACAACATACGCTAAAATTGTCGGGTTTGGCGCCGCTAGAGACGTGAAACCCATCCGGCCACTCGTCGAATTCTTCAGAAAGTGTTTAACAATTTTCTCCTCGTCGTTTGCCTTGGTTCTGCTTCGCTTAATGCCTTTGAGCTGGGTTATTTTAGTCTCGTTCGCAGTCGTTTTACTTGTTGCTCGTATCATATATGATATTTCCGAGAAAAGCAGTAAGCTCTTGAAAATCAGTGGCTGTGGATGCCTTCAGAAATATCTTCTAACTCAGTAGCGAACGATGAGTCATTTCAAATAATTCTAACAATTGTGTGGTAAGTTTTCAACGCAGCGCTTCGAACCTCAGCTTTGTTGTCGAAAGGCACGAACATATTCGGAGCATCACTTTCCGATCTCACTCTTTAATTTCAAAGCTTTATAGATTCTATTTTACTTACTAACGTTATCATCTCCTCGTACATGCTGCCAGCATTAAAACTTACCTTGAAGCAATGTCACCATGCAAAAACTGCCGAAGGGAACTTGGCGCAAACGTAAATCCATGACAGCCATTATACATATGTCGAGTTAGCGTTTTCATTGAATTGCATCATCCATGCGCTATTGTAATAATGACAGTGCATTTTCTTGGGTTTCCGGGAATGCCCTGTAAACATCTTAAGAGTATCAGATGTCTGTAAAGAAATTTAATCAGTTCAACTGAGGAATCGTGTCGATGTTCTACTTTACGAAATAACCGTACTTCAGGGTACAGTGAAATCGCTATGTCTTAGCAGGTCCTTGAAACCGTAGAATCTTGAACCAACTGAATTAAGAGCCGAGATCCTAGAATCGCTCGGAATGTCGGCAGAAACAAGGAATCGAAGAGTCTCAAGAGGTTTGCATGAAGTTTTCCGCGGAAGTTTGGTCAATATTTAATTTCTGACAACCGTACTGTCCCCATAATTCAAAGGGGACAACATATCGATTTTATAGTATGCACAAATTTGGGTATTTTGTCTATCAAAAGACAAGCATAATTTTTTAAGATCACTTGATATTGTCAGATGTGATTCTTAGAAAAGTTTTGATTGCAGGGAAGCCCGCTCTGTTGGGCCTTCATGGCGTGACACGTCAACAATGAAATTCTGAGAAGTGTCTTTCTTCATAAAGCATCCTGTCTACCTGTGATTTTTAACTCCCTTAACTCCCAAGATGTCTAAGGAATTCTCCCTACTGTCTGCCATAAACTACTAATCATTTCAATTTGGAGAATTTGGCATTGGATCAATTTGTAGTCTCCCTTCTTCTATTTTCTCCTTACTCGTCTGCTTGATTTTGTGTTGATATTGTAAGGAGAGATTCTGTCTTGGTCACTCATAGGAGTTAAAGGGTTAAGCAGCAGGAGCTTGATTTAGATGGTGACAGAAAAGTTCTTAAAAGTTCTTACTCTCCTTACCGTCAACCATACAATTCTTACAATGTTAGTTCAAATAATTTAGTATTGGATCGACTCATTGTCCCCAAATTGATATTTTTCTTTGTTTCATCACTTATCTGGTTGATAATGTATTGATATTGTAAGGAGTAATTTTCTCTTGGTCACTCCTGGGAGTTAAAGGGTTAAAACTTATTTTGGCGTCTCTCCAGCGAATCTTGATGTGTTTTTGGTAAGGCTTCGTACACTTTTCTGATTCTCTCACCAACAGGTAAATGCTTCCGCATTCTTCTGAACCGTATGCGACTCCTATCCTGTATTTATAGCAAAAGCTAAAGCAAACTAGACTCGATGAAAGTTTATCTTAGTAGTGTTTACTACAAGGGTTGGTTGTCGGGCCAAATCAAATTGTAATTCACCCTGCATGTAGCTTCCTTTATTGCTTGAAGCTCGAAGGCTCTTTCCGTTTTCGAGATTGTTCACTGAAACGACAGGATTGAACTTATAAACATTTCTAAAAGAAATGAAAAGGCACATCATATTTGATTAAACTGTTTTGATAGTTTTTTACGGAATTCATTGTCGACCGTTTGGTACAATCGCCCTTACTAAAAAGGCAAATCTTTTGCATTTTATGATATCTTGTTCTATAACTCTTGGATACAAGGAAACGTGTTGTTTAAAAGTGTTGCTTTGGAAAAAAAAAATATGTATATATATCTATACATGTAGCGCAGAAAATTGTATTCTTGCTTTATTTACCAAAGTTAGGCCAGATTACAGGTTTTAATTTTTAAAAGTTCTCTCCTATCAAGCCTTTCCATGCCAATTAAGGTAGCAAACAATTCAGTTGCAAGTTCTTGGAATTTTTTCAGTGATTGGGTTGTGTTCCGAACTAACATTGTAAAACAAGGATTTTGAGTACCGATGCACTCATCAAATAGGTGCGTCAGAATGTTATTCAAAGACTAGTAGACGATTTTTGTCAAAGCAACTCATTTCTCATTTTCTCGATGAGAAAATTTTGTCCCGTCAATAACATGAATCGATCTGTTTTAAAGTTTTCTATTTTTCCTTAGCAATCATTTTAAAGCACGCTTATAGTGTACTACAATAACGCAAGTTTTATTCCTAACTTACCAGAACTATCGGGTCAGTGGAGACAATTTAGAGGCTTAGGAGCAGAAACCGGCAGGAAGTTGAGAAAGAGAAAAAATTGGAGAAATTGTATCACTACTTTCGTTACTATTTCGGTATACCAGCTAATGATGCATTCCATGATAGAGTATGATCAAGGTATACTGTTCAGTCACTAATCCGCAGCCTCCTCATCGACTCTGGGCTAGATCTTGGCAGTTTCGGAATGCTCACCTGATGCTTTTTCATCAGTATGCTGCTTGTAAGCGAGGTTCCTTTTGCAGCGGTGCCCACGCAAGCGAAAGACAACCACTGCAGCTATTAAAAAAACTGACACACCTATGACTACTGGAAATAACCACACAGGACTTCCTCTATCATGTGATGTTTGTGTTGGCATATGAGGAACTAGAAAAAAGTTAGAAAGCACTTTAGCAGGAAGGATGATTATCATTATAATCGTCGTCATTATTTCTGAGCAGCTTCAGAAGTAATACTTATACAAATTCAACAACAAGAGACCTCAAAGACTAGAGGAGAGGCCAGGGGAGACCACCTCGGTTATCAGTCTGTCTGTAATTAACTTGTGAATGAGCGGCTTGGCCAATTCAGAAAATTGAAAATTGAAAACTTTTTTTTTTAATGTATAAATAAGCTAATCGAACCGATGATCGATATCAGGAGAAGATATCAAATTGTGGGACCTTGTTAGAGTAACGTGGACTGCTTAAGATTACAGGGACATTGATGTGGTCGATATCATGACTTGTGCGAAAGAGATCCTTAGCTTAAAAAAGATCAGAGAAACTAACTCCTTGAATAGGTAATGATTCCATTCGGTTACTAGTGAGGGAGTGTTTGTAATTTTCAAATCGTTTAACACAGAGCGCGCCGATGGAAATGCTCTGGAAATGAAAATTCAGTCACCAACATAAGAATATGCATTAGCAATCTAGTTCATGGGTATTTATTTCGACAAACAAATTGTTAAAACCTGTTAGCTTTTGTGATCCATAATTATGCTCCAAAACCGTAACCACAATCTCCTTATGATCTTCACCAGCCTGGTTGTGAGCGCTGCACAGGTAGACTCCGCTGTCGTTTGGCGTTACTCCATTGAGAACCAATGTATCATTACCAACAATTCTCCCCTGTTTCGTCCATGTTATGGTTGGTGCAGGAAGACCCTTTGCTTGGCTGTTTATTCGCAAGTTGTCCCCAATGTTCACGGAAAAGTTTTCCTGTTTGGGACTGGTTATCTTAGGAGAATCTGTTTAGATATTTGAGAATAAGGTTTTTCTAAATCAGAAGTGAAAGTCAAAGAAGGAAAGCCATCACATTTTCTCAAAAGTGGCTAAGATGGGGTCCATAATTGGCCACTGAAAGACTATGGGCAAGGGGCTCTGAGTGGCCAGGGGCACATTCTCAGAACATATTTACCCAAGTACCCCGCTTCCGGGTCTGTGGCATTCCTCCACAAATGAAATGTAACAAATATATTACCCTCAAGAAGAAGCATCACAGGATCCGTCAAAGGAGGCTGATGAAGGCCAAGCTCAACCTGAAGACAATAGTGATTCTCATCCTTCATGGTTAAACCATGGAGTGTGAATGCAACTTGAAGCTTGGACATGTTAAAGTCGCAGCTAATTTTCTTTTCGTAGTTTGGTCTTATCAGTACCTCACCATGTCTATCGATGACCAATAGTTTTGTTTTCAGGAATCCTGGATCTTTCCAGATTCCAAACACCACTTCAAATATGCTACTATTCCACGTCTCTGAGGGAAGCAACCCAAGCGTCCAATTAAGCGTAGCTTTGTCTTCGCTACGAGCAATCAGGGGATCACTTGGTCTAGAAACAATTTTAGGATGCCCTCCTTGGCAAAATACTGTTAAATCGTGGAAAGAAATGGAAAAGAAAAACAATAGAATGGTTATTATTGCCTAAATGCAGAATCAGAAGCGACTTCGTAAGCTAAGTTGTCAAATCTCTCCGTTGACCAAAGACCGAAGAACTCCTTCCGTACTTTTACCCTGTAACGGAATTGCTCTAGAAGTTTTTTATAAAAAGCTAATAATGTATCAGTTTGACAAGTAGACTGATCAAATGCAAATGTTCTCTAGTTGCGTGTTAACGATTTGTAGTTTCCGCGTATTTCATTTCCATAATTCTAGATTCCTTATTTTCCATTTGTGTACTGAAAGACTGTCGATTGATTTATGCACAGACTGAACCTAAACAATGGCCTTTCTCTTTGTCTTGTTCTTTCTCGGAAATAAATCACCTGAATATTTATCAAAAATCGTAGTTCAGATGTCGCTCTTTAGCTTTTGAATATTTTTTAGAATAAACCGGTAGCGACTACATCACGAAACATACGGTCATTTCATTATTTATGAAAGGTCTTCCGCAAGCAGTGTCTTCAGCCGCTTCAAAAATATAGTTCGTGGTCATCTCTTTCTTAAACCAACCGTTTGCCGATCCTGTTTTTCAGATTTCTCTGTTGGGTCGCAAAATCCTTGCTTTCAGGTCTGGAAATTCGAAATGTTTTCATTCTAATTTAGACTTTGTTAAATCTAGTAAGTCTTAATATATCTTCCGTACACCAAACATTAAATTCTCTCTTATTGATGATTACTTTCACTTTCACCTTAAGCAGTTAATCTAGAACGAAAAAACCTTTTTTTTGTCTGTGTTAAGCATCAATTGCTTTAAATATTGTTTCCGGTGTTAAAATCAGGCTACAAATGTACATAATTATGGTTTAGACTTAATTTCCTAGTTTAAGGTGGTATGACGAAGAGGCACTTCCGGGTTTGTGCGTTTATCCGATCGTCGGCTTCAGTTAAATGGTGAGGTGAGTTGCATTGTTGTAGAAGGTCACGATGAAAAAAAAGAAAAGAATGAAGGAATCGTTTGATTACTGACAATGTCAACACTGTGTTCTTAAACCTACCTGGGAGCCACAGAGACATGATGAGAGTAGCTGAAATCATCGTCGCCTTCGTTCGATACGGAGGGTCGATTCACCGCTTAATGGAATCTCGGATTTTCTT